TTACCATTTTAAATTAGAATGTTTATCATGAAGTGAGGGTTCTGTGGATGTAGTTATAACTATAGGAAGATGGCATAATACTTATACAGAACAATAAATTTGTGCATGTCTATCTTTTCTATTAGTGGAGTCATAGCAACTGCATCCATTACTTGATAGTAATTTACAGTGAATTAATATAAAAGTGTTTTTGATTGTGCCCAGTAACTGACTAACCTGGAACATGAAATATTTAGCTTTTCTTTTTTCTTTAAAGTGGGTCAAAATATCTTCGAGATGAGCCTTTTGTTACTGGTGTTGATGTGCAAAAGCATCTTGAGAATGAGCTATTTGATTAACAAAGCTCCTCGTGTCTTCTATGTAAATCAACACAATACAAGCCTGCGGGCAGCATTTACTGCTGCTATGTTACACTTTTGTTTCAGTGAGTTTAACATGTTTTCTGTACAGACAGTAGGCTGCTCGCTGTATAGGTTTAAACAGCTTTTTTTCCTTATATGCTAGCATGACGAAACCGTTTACTAGTTGGCATATCAGCACTATATAGGCTATAGTAAAAAATAGCATAAAAAGTGAAAATCTTTAAGATATTAAACATTGCTATTCCATGAGGTTAGCGATGTAGGCTAATTCACATAACTGACTTTTTCATTCTGTTTACGGCACTTTGAGAAACAGGCAAAAATGTAGATAAGGAGAAATTATTCAATGATTTGCTCCGTTTTGCTGAATGTCTGAATGTATTCATCTATTTCAGGGATGGGCAACTGGCAGGCCGTATGTCTTCTAGTACGGCCCGCTGGATTATGTTAGACTCGGATGATCAATTTTAAAACATTTGAAAAGTAAGTCACGTAAATAGGGGGGCGCCGGTCACAAAGTAGTTGTAACACACATGGTTTTAATATTTCCACACATGCTAGCATAACAATGTACAGTATTTATTGGTTACCATATCAACATTATATAGAAAAAGTGTGCCAAAATTCAAAAATCTTTTGAAGAAATCGCTGAACATTTATTTTACCATAGTAAAATTTAAATCTGTTTTTATTAATCATTTTAAAATGAGACAAATCTGCTATTATTTTAATCTCTAATCTGTTATTTATCAGTTTAGATAGTTAGTTAGTTTTTTATTTATTTATTTTTTTTAAATGCGTCGCTAACTAGCAAAAGACAGCAACTGGGCACGTTGTAACACTGCGTTACAATGTGCTATTCTATGACATTAGCGATGTAATTTACACTATTTACTTTAATGAGTTTTTTTTAATGAGAAACAACAAGAAAGCGGTGAATAAAGACTGACAGTCAATTCTTAAAGGGGTCATATGATGTTGCTAAAAAGAACATTATTTGGTTTAATGAAATGTTTATGCGGTTTAAGGTTCAAAAAACGCATTATTTTCCACATACTGTTTCTCCTCTATGCCCCGCCTTTGACTAGCCATGAAGAAGTCTATGCCATGTCATTCAGTATAGGCCTAGTTAAATTTTCACAAATCATGCTATAAACTTTCATAAGAGCACTAGGCAAAGTTATTGTAATTATGTATTGTTGCAATAAACTGATAAAATTATCCACCCTTAAATATAGTAAAGTAGCCCATTAACAAATTGATGCAATAAATAGGGTATGGTTTAAAAATAATCATTCCTCCAAAACAGAGAAAATATTTTTCACAAACATCTACATGTCTGTCTCCTTTAAAGTGTTTGTAGTGTATATAATGAGTTGTATTTGTAGGGGTTATTATAACACAATTCTTTAACATCAACCCGGACCTCACTAATTTTCAAAGTCTGGGTACGGCCATAGGCGCCAGCACCTGTCAAGGGGCGCGGAGCATCAGTTAATTCAGAGGCATACCCTCCAGTAGCCTACTTATGAATACGAGCTAGCAAATCTTTAGCCATCCACTAGGGGGCAATCTGATTAGTCCCACTGCTAATCAGTCGACAGTTAGAGCTAATGATGGGAAGTTCGGCTCTTTTCAAAGATTCTGCTATTTTGGCTCGGCTCCCTTAGAAGAACCGGCTCTTACGGCTCCCACATGGCTCTTTATTTAGTATCACCCTGAGCCTTCTATTTTTAGCCCAATTTAGCAAGTTTGAATGGTTTGTGTTGGTAAGCAATTTTTTTTATTCAGTGTTTTCATAAAAGCCTTATTTTACTATTTAACATTTTAATAAAACTTTAACACTTTAGTCTTTAGTGCAGGTTGGCATTCAGAAATATCAGATGCCTCAGCTTGGATGTGCTGATGCGATTTCTCCTCTCGGTGATCATTTGTCCTGTTTTTGAGAAGACAACAATGCAGTGTCTTCCTACCTTAACCAACGCGCTTGCATTTAAATCTGGCTCCCCTGTCCCTCAATGTCACTCTGTGTACTTGGCCTCTGTGTACTCTGTGCTGCACTGTGCACACAACTGAAGCGCACAAACAAAGCCATCTCAGACAGCAGGTGCACACCAATGGCTGTCTTGACGAGTATCCTCGTAAGCACAGTCAGTCTTAAGTGAACATAATTGCAGTAAAGAAAATATCGAATGTAGATCAGTATAATGGATCCATGCATTTGTTAATAGTGTTAATCAAAAAGAACAAAAGAAAAACCATGCGCTGCTCTTAAGTAATGTCTGTAGTTTTAATGGATATTTGTGTATGTTAATTTTAAACAAATTTGGTGTGAATGCAGTAATCGGTGTGGGGAGGGGGGTGCTTGGGGGGGGGCGTAAGTGAAATTAGACAAACTTGGGGGGGCACATGTCCGAAAAGTTTGAAAACTCCTGTTCTAACGTAAACATTTATTAACAGTAGCAAATAAGAAATGAAAAACTGACCATGAAAGCAGTCAAGATGGTAAACAAATTATAATTTTACCAAGTTCAAGGGGTTTAGATTGTTTGGAAATCTGTATTTGTTTTAAATCGCCATCACACCACTGCTCACAAACAACGGGGACGTAGCACTTGCCTCAAATATCAAAGGTAAAAAATGCATAGACTAGTAAACAAAACCTATTTGCGAAATGCATGACAGAAATGTTTGAACTGAACTGTGGGTTCCTGTTCTTAGGGCTTCCGTGGGTCCTCAGTTTAACTGTTTAAATTATGAAAACTCTTAAATGGCACAAGTCTTAATTATAAATGGTCTTAAATTTGGGGATGGAAAGACAAGAATTGCTATGTAGATTAATGTGTCGATTAAACTTCAAAAGGCTATGATTTTGCTGAATAAACTCAAGCACAGCACGCTTCAAAATCAGGCACTGCTGCTTTGTGTACTGCCGTTACCAGGGAACTGCTGTTAGGCTACTGCTGTTCTGAAAGCGAAACCTGCTGGCAGAGAATGAATTTGCATTTTCAGTAAGCCCGTCTGCTATTTTTGCTACATATTTTTAAATGTGAACCAGTGGATCGACAAGAAGCTAATGCATTATAAAGATATTTTAAAAAATGAAGACACTAAGGTAGGCCTATATGTAATTTAATATAATAATTGATTGATAATTGTTTAAATTAATATAATAATTCATACTTTTGACTCATTAATTTTCTTTAAAAAATGTTTAAAGACTGAAACGTGAAGTTTGTCTTAAAAAGGTCTTTTAAAGGTCTTAAAAATCCTGCAGATACCCGGTTATACTATGGTACCATTTGGAGTAAATATTTTTTGAATAAGCCCTTTTTAACTGTCCTCTTACATTGTTTTGAGAATGCTCTGTAGGCCACTAATAAAAAGTAAGACCTCTGTCCATTTGTTTGTTGCAAATTTACAGACAATGCAATTAAGATGTTTACATTTGCTTGTTGGGGTACTATTGCTGTCAACTGACAACAAAGTTTCCCTTCTGAATTAGCATAACTGCACAAGTTTTATGGTTAATATCTTTAAAAACAAATTACATTAATTATACTTTGATTTCCTTCAATAAAAAGTAAATTGAGTAAGACGATGGAAAAGTTGTGTAGACGTGGATTAGTAATCTGGCCCCTTGGTATAAATGAGAAAAAAATTCTGGCCCTCGTCACTATCAAAGTTGCCCATCCCTGATCTATTTGCCCGCATTGTTTTAACCTATAGCTATAGCTGTGCATAGTCAAATTCCAAAATGAGATTATTTTTCAATTTTAATTAAAAATGTTATTGATAAAAAATATTGTTTGTCTATTTTAATTAGATTAGCTAAAATGTTACAACTGTGGGCATTCACATTTCACTTACATTCTTTTGGGGTAAATAATTATTATTATTATTTTTATTTTTATTTATTTTTTTAAGTATACACTGTATTAATGAAACAAGACCACATATTTTTACAAGACATGTGTGAAATTAATGTAAAACAAACAAATAAATACTCTGAACCCCAGGTGGATTTACACAAACTGAGAAAGCTAAAAAGCTTTAGGTTATGTCCCATTTTCCCCTGCAGTACAGAAAGTTTTAACTGTCATTGATTTAGGTAATAAGAAAACTCTTGACTGCTTATGTCTTTTATTTGTAATAATTAATCACAGCTGTATTATATACAATATGCCTTTGTAAGTTTATAGTATTGTGGGAAGTTAAATAACTCAGGGGTGCTCTTTTTGATATCATTAGCATGTATTATCCAAAGTAACTTACACTGCTTTCAGAGTATTTGATCAGTTCATACATTTCCTGGGTATCAAATCCATGACCTTGGTGTTTCTAGTGCTATGATACTGTTAAGTTGCTACTGCCTAAGCTACAGGAACTTAAGGCTAAAATCAAGGCTACTAGCTACTGTATGTAGCCACCTCATGTTTGCAGTTTAAGCTTTTACGTCTACTTACAAAATTGTGATACTGAAAATGTATGATGTGTTTGATCATCTCTTAGAATACACCAGTGAGAATCTGTGTGAGCTGTCATGGATGGGAATCTGTTTGTGCTGCTTCTGCTGTCAGGTTGGTGTGATAATTTGTATCTGTTTATGATGATGTGTTCACATATAGGTGGTGCAACATGTTGATTTTAACAGGGCTCTTCTGGAGCAGTTCTGGTCTTTCTCGTCCGTACCACTATATAAATGCAGCAATGTCGTGGCCAGAGGCTCAGAGTTACTGCAGAGAAAGATTCACTGATCTGGCTACTGTAGACAGCATGGATGATGTGAACAGGCTGGTAAATAAAGTGGATGCTGGATACAGTGGATCAGTGTGGATTGGACTGAAGAGGGGGACACAGAAACAATGGAGTTGGTCTAATGGAGAAAACACAACTTCTCAGTACTACAACTGGGCTTCAGGACAGCCAAATTGGGATGGAGATTGTGTAGTTATATTTTCTGGATTTTGGCATAATATGTCATGTAGCTATAAGCGATATTTTGTGTGCTATAGTGAGTTCCCTGTTATTTTAAATTTATTATTGTGCCATTTAACTGAGAAAGAAGAGCTGAGAACAGATACCTTCTTTGTGTTCTTCAATAGAAAATGATGGATACTTCTTCATACAGAATGCTAAAATCTGGACAGATGCTCGGAACTACTGCAGACAGTATTACACAGACCTAGCCACCATCCACAACTCAGAGGAAAATGACCAGGTAATTATGAAAGTTTTATCTGGATGGTACATCTGGTTTGGTCTGTTTCTGGACTCTTGGGAATGGTCTGATCAGTGGGATCTGAGGTTCAGACACTGGGCAGCAGGTCAACCATTGATGAGTTCAGGATCTGGTGACTGTGTTGGCATGTCAACAACTGATTCTGGCAGATGGGCTCACTACAGCTGTGATCTACAGCAGCCTTTTATCTGCTATGGAGGTGAGTTTCTCCAGTTAACCGAATTAAATTATTCAAATGGTTTGTAGATCACTCTTACAACAGACATCACAAACAACTGAAATATGTTTCCTTCGTTGATGTATCTTCTATGTTGGGCATAACTTCACGTTTCTTGTCATTTCTCTAGATGACAAGAGAAAACAAATTGTGAGACTGAAAGTGACCTGTAAGGGAAAATGTGCATTGAATGATCCTTCACTACAGACGGCCATTCTGAATGAGGTTTGTATCTGCCTTAAACAGTGTTCAGTGTCAAATTCTAGTGCAACAACACAATTTGCCAAGTATATGCACTCAATGAAACGGCTGAAGAAGAATGCATTAAATTACCTTAAACCCAACAAGCATCACTCATATCAGCATCATCATTATTGCTGGTTGTGTTGTTATTTAGGGCTAAATATGATATGACATGATTTGTCAGGTTTTATTTAATTCTTTCTTGCTGGTCTTCCAGATAAGTGAAAAGCTGAAGAACATGAGGTTGGAGAGTGACAGCAAAATAAGCTGGAGAAAGGGGGGAGATGGAGAGGCGTTTCATCAGGAGAACAGCCATATAGTGAATTTGGATAATAAATGTAATGGGCATCCGTAATGTATTTTTTTAAAACTTAAATACGGTTTAAAAAAAATATCAAGTAATGTTACTATATTGTTTTGAGGAACTGGAAAATAGTAGTAGTAGTACAATACAATATTAACAAAATTAATGAATGTAGCCTAACATTAGCTAGAAATATTCGCATTCTTACAAGACTATAGGCTACTTTTCTTTCAACAAATTCAATTGAATGATTTTCCTACAATTCCATTAATTAAATTTTCCTTTTAATACTGTTGTTTAAATTCACTGATTTTTTTTTAACAGTACTTAGGGTCTAGTATACGCAGAGAAGATTTTGAGATAATGTATACTGTATGTATATGTATATGCTCTTATTTAATAAGTAAAATTAGTGCTTTATTGTTCCTGTTTTAAGATTACTCCTATATGTCAGAATTTCAATTGTAAAAATACAGCACTCTTTTGTTTTATATTTGTTACATGTAAAACAATTTAAAGGGATTAAAGTAGTTTATTTATAAAGTAGTCCATTCTGTAGTTTATTTACTTGTGTGCTTTGTATCCTTGCCTTGTTGCATCACCCAACCTCTCTAAAGCTAAAGACATGAACTGCAGTCCTGACATTCTTCTGTAAATTGTTTTGATATGCTTTAGAATGTGTTGTTCCTTCAGCAATTGCATGGTGTCCAGGCCCTGAGGCATCAAAGTATCACTAAATCATGACGCTCCGTCCACCATGCTTCACAGCAGAGATGAGGGCTTGAAGCTGATTTGCAGTTGCTAAAAGCATGGTACATTTGTGCTAAAAGTTCAACTTTTGTCTTAACTGTCCATAGAAAATTTTCCCAGAAGCATTGTGGACCATCCAGGCAGTTTTGGGCAAACATCAGACATACCCTTGTGTTTCAGTGTTTTGTTCATAGTGGACTTTTCTGAATGGTCTTTTCCTCTTATTAGGTTCTTTCTCACGTCTTTCAGGATTACCTGTAATGTTTTAGGAGTGATCTTTGCAGAACAGCCACAGTCCAGAATTTTCTACATTTGTAGTGTATGAGAAATGAATGGTTTAAATTTAGTCCACAAGTTTTTACGCATATCTTATTTCTTATCCTCTCACTGAAGTAGGCCTACTTACAGTACAACTCAGGAGTCCATGAAATCCTTTGTCTTTGTTTATTTATCAAAATCAGTAAGGTGTCACATTCCTTAAAATCTTCTTACAATATAATCCACATGCTTTACAGTAACTTATTTGTTGACTTTCTTTTGACGAATACGGTGGCCGAGAGAGCTCAACACATGCAAATAGGAAAAACACCAGCAAACTAAAGGGGTGGTCAACCAGCTATTTCAGAAGGATTCATTGTGTTTTTGGGGTGCACTGTAACGTGTGTTCATGCTTCTATAAAATCACATAAATTTTTACATATTTTACCTTTTTTCTACACTGCTTATTTCGTTCTCCTAAACACAGTTCCTGGTTCTATGAAGCCCCTCCCTCAGAAATACGCAATAGGCTCAGATTGGTTAGCTGGCCCAGTGTGTTGTGATTTGCTAACCCAGGGGCTTAGCTCACGCGGGGGACATGATCTGCAGCCACTTTTAATATCACATAAATTCGTCCCCCACACTTTTTCAGACAAGTGTGTTTGCATAGAGGTTTCCAAGTGCTGGTGTGAATAAATATAGATTTTAATTCAAAAAGACAGGATAGTCTGTGCATGACCTGATGTTTTATTCCGACCCAGAATAATGCAAGATGAACATCACGGAAAGCAAATCACATGCAGTGTATGTCTCAGTCATACTCGAAGCCGGTGGGTGCTCTCGTGCAGAAAGTTGTACCAGGAAATCCCTAATATGGACAAAAGTGCCTATGGCTGTATAAAAACAGTTGTTTACTTTTCACAGAAAAAATAAACGTTTGGAAACATGAAGACATTAAACATGCGACAATATATGGTTTATTTGCGTTTTTCAAGTCATCTCCAGGTAATAAATAAAGCATATGAACCATGCAGTGCTAATTGACATAGCATTCATTACAGTATAGAAACTATTCTGCCCTATTATATGATAGATTAAAAAAAATAGTTTGTAGTATATAAACAAATCATTATTATTGGTTATTTTCCAGCAGTGTATCTGATTTCTTAGACAAATAAAAGCTAAGAGAAATATTAAAGTTGACTATACACTTCCAGTCAGAAGTTTTTGAACAGTAAGATGTTTAATCTTTTTAAAGAATCTCTTCTGTTCATCATTTTATTTGATTCAAAGTACAGCAAAACAGTAAAAATTTTAAATATTTTTACTATCTAAAATAACTGTTTTCTATTTAAATATATATTTAAAAATGTAATTTATTCCTGTGATTTCAAAGCTACATTTTTAGCATCATTACTCCAGTCACATGATCCTTCAGAAATCATTATAATATTCTGATTTGCTGCTCAAAAAAAAAAAAATTATGATGTTGAAAAAAGCTGTAGATTTTTTTAATTGTTTAATTCTTTTAATTCAGTTCAGAAGAACAGCATTTATCTGAAATAGAAATGTTTTGTAACATTATAAATGTCTTTATGATCACTTTTGATCAATCTAAAGCATCCTTGCTAAATAAAAGTATTAATTTCTATAATTTTTCCAAATTAAAAAAAAAAATTTAAATTATACTGACTGAAGATAAATGCTGATCTTTGGATCTTTCTACATTTGGAAATGTACTCAACTGTTTTAAATATTGATAATAATAATGATTAAAAAAGGTTTCTTGAGCTGCAAATCAGCATAGTAGAATGATTTCTGAAGGATCATGAGACACTGAAGACTGACGTAATGATGCTGAAAATTCAGCTTTGATCACAGCAATAAATTACATTTTAAAATATATTCACATAATATATTTGTTACAGAAGTATACTCGGAACACAGAGAAATGGGTAAGTATGAGTTATTGACAACAACTGAGCTCAGCAGGTAATCAGGAGGTTAGACTTTTAATGGTACTGGAGCCGAGAGGACGTGGGGTAATATGAAAGTCTCTATACAGGACCAGGAGATCGGGAAGGAGCCGAAGACCAGAGGCACGGAGACAATGGAGTACTCGGACGAGGAGAACACGCTGGGGAAACAACAGGAGGTGAGTTCAGGTACAGACACTTTGTTAAAGAAAATAGCAATGAAGCTACTGGCATTTAGTCCTTTACGTGTAAACGAGACCGAGAATATTCACATAGAAAACAGTTATTTTAAATAGTAAAAATATTTCACAACATTACTGCTTTTGCTGTACTTTGGATCAAATAAAGGCAGGCTTTGTGAACATAAGAGACATCTTTAAAAACATTAAGAATCCTACTGTTCAAAAACTTTTGACTGGTAGATTTTATATATATATATATATATATACCTGAGTTAAATATATGAGTGTCACAGCAAAGGGTCTGAATACTTAGGACCATGTGATATTTCAGTTTTTCTTTTTTAATAAATCTGCAAAAATGTCAACAGTTCTGTGTTTTTCTGTCAATATGGGGTGCTGTGTGTACATTAATGAGGAAAAAAAATTAACTTAAATGATTTTAGCAAATGGCAGCAATATAACAAAGAGTGAAAAATTTAAGGGGGTCTGAATACTTTCCGTACCCACTGCAAATTCGAGGTCATACTAAAATGGAGTCAGATTAGATAATAAAATGGAGTCAGATAAGAATTGAATTTAAAATTTAATAACTTTGTGCGCTGAAAAGACCGAACATGCAAGAAACCTTCATCCACCACTGGATACCTTCCTCGGGCCAAGTGCGTGGACCTTACACACATTACAACAATATTTAAAAATATCCTCTTATCCACAAGCTTCCAATACCACTCTCTTTATGATGCATTTAAATTCACTAATAGACACAAATTTATCTAGTTTTAGATCTTTTTGCAAATGATTCCATGCCCAGGGTGCGTAATATGAAAACGCAGTTTTCCCCAGTTCTGTGCAAACTCGAGGTACGTTAAAAAGCAAACACTTGGAAGAGCGTAGCTGGTAATTGCCAGAACAAAGACAAAGAAGAGTATAGGGGTAAGCTGGAAGTTTACCTAACATCACTTTATAGATAAAAATGTACCAGTGCTGTTTTCTACATATAGCTAGTGATGTCCAGCCCACCATCTCAAAATGCAATGATGAGTACAGGATTTTGCATTTGTAATAAAACGTAAGGAAGCATGGTACACTGAATCAAGTCTCGTTAAGATAGAAGAAGCCGCATGCATGTATAATATATCCCCATAATCAAGCACAGTTAGAAAGGTAGCTTCTACAAGTTTCTTTTTGGCATTAAAAGTAAAATTTGTTTTATTTCTAAAATAAAAGCCAAGCTTCACTTTGAGCTTCCTGATTAGATTAGCCATATGTACATTGACTAAAAATGTATCTTCAATCCAAATGCCCAAGTACTTGTAAGAAGTTACTCTTTCAATACTTTTACCATCAGATGTAAAAATACTAAGATTATCAAGTACTTGTGACTAATATTTAGGAAAAAACGGCATGGAGAATGAAATGATTGTTAGAATTGTTATTTTGTATATGTTAGTATTTGTGTTAGGCTATAGTGTCAAGTTATCTTCAAAATTACTTTTTTTTACCCAAGATGCTTTGTCCAATGATGAGATGAGACATGCAGAACATCTCAGGTTATGCATGTAACCATGGCTCCCCGAAGGGAACGATACGCTGCGTCGAAACGCTTCGGGAACACCTTCAGCGTGACCACGCTCTGAATCACATGTGTAATCAGTCCAATGGAAGGGCAAGACGTCATGGGTGGGGTGAGGAAATTACCAGGAAGCTTAAAAGCATGTGCGGTGGAACCGGCTTCAGCTTCTGGGAATGAAGCAAGCGCTTGCAGGGATGCCGGAAGTATGGCACCAAGACGCAGCGTCTCGTTCCCTTCGGGGAACCATGGTTACATGCGTAACCTGAGACATTCCCTTTCAGGAACTCGAGCTGCATCGAAACGCTTCGGGAA